AGTTCACCATGAAGCCCCAGGACGGCGGGATTATTTTTATCTTCTCTGTTATGTTATGTCTGTCTCTGGAGTTGCTGCTGCAGCAGAGACATAGGCGCTGTAATTGAATTTACTATGCGCTGAGACATTCCTTGAAGCCAGTTATCTAAAGCACGCTCCTGAAGTAGCTTCCCAACTGAAGTGTTCTAGTACAGTTTGAGTGGCGCAAAACCAAGATGCTGTCTCGATACCCAATTTCAGGGTTGTGCCGCTATAATCATTCAAGGGTCGCACGCCGCACGGGCCTCGTGCACTGGCGTATTCCTTGCAACGTGTCAAACAAACTCAAAACATATTAAGGGTACTTACTGCGCTTTATTATTTGCCCTAAAATAGAATGCAGTCAAGTCGACGGGTCGCCGGGTCCCATTAAGAGCCTATCAGGATGTGGTTTTCGGCTTACTTTCAAGCACACCGAGACGTGTGCATTGAGAAGCAAGTTGTAGCGATATTCAACGTGGTTTCTAGCTCGCTCATGGTCTCACTTGGCGGCTGCATCTTCCGTTGCAGTTCATCTCATAGTTTAACGAAGTATAAGTGGATATATAATTGGAGTGGGAGAGGCTAGCGGCCGATGCTTAGGGCAGGGAAACTATTCTGGGCTCCACTAAAATGTATTTCAGAGGCCAGCACTCGCCACCTCCTTTAATATTTTGATTCACCCTCTTTCGCATAAATGACGTGATGTTAAGGTCGTAAGAGTCTGTTCATTATAATAATATTTAACAAAAATAACGAAACATTAAAATAGGCAGAATTCATCGGGCTTTGAAGAAAAAAGCCCATTGCAGTGGGAGATTGCGAGGTTGATTTAAGATTAATGTCATTCGTAATCTCCTAGGAAATCAAACTTGAACTTAAAATGAATGGAGTTGAAAGCTTTGACTCAACGCGATGCACGTATGTCGGAGAGCATTGGGGTTGAAAGCATTATCTTTTACGGAACTAGGGTTACATCTTCTTTTTATAAATTTCGCTTCCTCATTATGAAGATGGGATTTTCTGTTGCGCCATTTTAATGAGTCCCTGTATAAACAAAAAAAAATTACTGAACAACAGTACATGTGACGTGCACATAACCGCCATACACGTTCGTGAAACAAAAAATATTTGCCTGTTTGGGTGTGGCACTAATTAACGTTGGAAATCATGGTATAAGGCGATAAAAACACCGGACACAAGAAAGAAAACAGACTACAGGTCCCTTAAAAGAGATGTTTTCCCTCTTGTGTACGATGTTTTTTTCGCCTTACACCCTGATTCCAACGTTCAGAAACTAGCCCAACTACAAGTTCTTATAATAAATAACGTATTTCGAAGGATAATCTTGACATTTTTTCGTTTTCGTGAAGACCCGAGTTTTAGCTCTTCGCTTGCCCACGATGAAATGAAGGTAAAAGTATCTTGCTGGACGTTGATGGAAATATATAAAGGGGTGTAAAGATGTGAGTGAAACGCTGCAAAACATAGCCCTGGCATCGATGGTTTAACAAAAATAGCAACACAAAAAACAACAAAAATAATACAAATAAGTCAAAGCGGACATAGTTTAGGCGTGTTCGATTTGCAGCGACGCTCAGTTTTAGCATCGCTAGTGAACTTTATATTTTCTTCATAAAACGTTCGACGTTGGTACTTTCTTGCGCACTAACCCCCAAAGAACTAGTTTCCGCCTTGGTATGGGATATTGTTCCGGAGTGAATTAGGGGGAGACTTCAGAGGCAAGGTCATTCTGGCCTCCTTATCTTTTACTCTCGGGGTTAAGAGTATATGCCGATCTTCTAGATGAAGAGGAGCGGTCCTCCTCGACCATGCACGCGGCAATATTTGGTTGATTCTTGAAATTTATAAAATACTCACCAACAATCTGAACCTTCGGGACAACCGATGTCTTAGCTTAAGCCCCGCCCCGCATCTCCGAAGCCTACGAAATGCATTTAAATATGGCAGTCGCTTTTCTTTAGACTTATTATGTGAACTATACGATTTTAAGGGATAGGCGCAGTGTTCCCATGGGTATAATTGTACAACACTTTACTGTTCATGGAGTAGTGATGTTTAAAAGTTACCCTTATAATGAGGTAGACAAACGGTTATATTTTTTGCTACTCTTCCATTCGCAAAGATATAAAGAGAAATCAATACCGTCCTGGCACCGCCAATACTTTTATCTTCAACAAGGGCTTATCTACTGGCCTAATTATAAAAGTTATAATCCACGGTTGTGCTCATCTTGGTATAGATCATCAACCGTATTCCCCAGACGTGAGTAGCGTGTGTTTAATCGTCGACTAACTACGTCATCGATTAAAATGATTACATATGGCAAGTGGTAATCACAGCTGAGTAAGTACTCGGTGTTCACCAACCATAATACTACGAAATTCTTAACACACATCAAATGCATGATTATCGATCAGCAATCAGGTATACGTATACGGCAGATGGACTTAACGATATTACCTTTGTACTCACTGATTTAAAAGAAAAAAGTCACTATTACTCATCTAGACACCGCCAGCCTTGGCACATTCCGAAACGCAAAACCAATTATCGTAAGCAGAAACTAAGCTACAGCCTACCTATATTATGAAATGATGATTTTATTCGGGATATAGATGTTATTCAGCTTTCAAAGAATAATATCCTCATTTTTTTTATTTTTTTTATTTTGATTATGCTTATGTTATTTATGCTCATATATAGATGCACAAGAAATGAAATGTTCATTGTAAATACATATTATTTGTCGTGTCGTAGCTGCTGAGTGGAGGGTCCGCAGCTCCGTCAAGCTGCATTCATGCAGCTTTTTCTCTGGCTTCCCATTCACCACATGTATCTGATTTAGAGCTTAGTTACCCCGAGCGACATAAAAGACGACTAAAATATGTTATTCGGGCGGAAAGGCTAGTTTAGACGGTGTTTAGTGGGTGACTAGCGGCTCAGCGTCATGCCCGACTCTTATCACTGCTGACGGTTAGCGCTAATGAAGCACTTACTGTCTTGGTACACTAGGTGGTACATGTAGAAAGAATTTGTGTAGTAAATATTGTGAAAATAGACATGTGCAGAAGTGAACCGGTGTACCGCTCAGGAGGGCACTGGACAACGATAGAGCCCGCATTTACGGCTCCTTCCATATTTGCTTATGTCGCTTCAATACGGGTATGCGTTTTAGACCGTTCGTTTTTTTAAATTTTATTTCTCTACCATCTTTCTTGGACAATGAGTCTCTCACTATAAAATTTTAGTTTTTCGTAACATATATTTAAATATTAGTTTTTAAATAATAAAATCCCCATTTCCGCAATGTCATTTGAGTACACGCCTGTGTGGCCTATCGTCTTATGTCGCTTCCACTTGTTACTCCTGATTACATTGTTACCCGATTGCTTGGCGCTCGAGAATACCGCAGGGTGCAGTCACTCTTTAAAGTCACCAAATCTACGATTTGCTCGCGACTACTTGGACGTGCTACTAACTTTGAAACAACTCTACCTAGTCACGACTCGTGAATACGGCTCCATGAGTGTAGAGTTAAAAAACAAACAAAAAAACATTGATTAGTGCAAATGAGCACACTTCGGTATTTCGTTTGTAAAATTGTGATTAGTTGCAGAAAAGGGGCGTGTCAAAGTGTATGGAAGAGGAAAAGGGGCACATAAGAGAATTTCTGGAACAAATGTTGGCTCTTAAGACCACTGCAGATGGTCTGTGTAATAAATACTATAGTGTTGGCATGCTTTACCTTTCTGTGTGTTTTGCCGAAGGGGAACAGATAAACCTGTCCCTATCTAGAGTATCATCTGACTCAGCGCCATTGCAATGCAGGTCCAAAAATATGTTTCAAACCACTTTAGAACGCGAAAAGTCTCAATTTAGTTGACACTAAGATACAAGTGCATGCAACTCGTTTCTAAGTACTTGTATTATCAAAGCACAAATATATATACTTTTTTTCAATCGTATGGGTTTTTGAATGCCAGGTGGTCAAGAATACAATCAGAGATTTTGTAGTATATTAACCAAGTTGCTTCTGAGCAATAAACTTCATCATACTCTTCAGATTTTAACAAGCCCCTGCATTTATACTTTCCCGAGAAGCATTTCACGCAGCAATTTTTTGTTTTTTCAAATTAGCGCAACCAGTAAGACGAGCGATCATGTAGGCGCTCCATTATCTTATACAGCTTCGGTAGCAAGACGGCTGGACATCTTTTGCCACTGAAACTGCACTACCAACGGAATATGATACTAAACTCCCTCCTGAACGGTTTAACTAATGTAATGAAAAACAGTGATTGGTGTACAGGGAGAAATGTGGAGGAGCATACTCGTATCTAATTATTAGGTCCCGCGCCCAGGAACGATGCAAAGGGAATGACTTTAAACGTTAGATTTCATTTTATTTTATTCCAAATGCTGGCGCGCTCTCGTCGTAGAGCTGTAGCGCTCCTCGTCGTGTTCGGCGTATATACACCTCTAAGCTGAAAGTGCGGTGGAAGCTACGTGCTTCCTGAGCCAATCACTGGTCTCCTTTTCATCACGTGACTCTGCTCTCTGCGGAAGGGTTTGCGCGAAAACGCGATCATGGGGAGAGAGAAAGACAAGTTTCCCATTGAGGCAGACTAACTCCCGTCTGTCTAAACACACATAAAACAGAATTGCATACTCGTTCAATCGGCAGTTAACCTGCACCGCACTCTCAGTTTAGGACTAGACGCACTATACGCCCCCCCCCCCCCCCCCGCCCCCCTCACCCCACCACCATTTCTTACTTTGTCGGGAACGAAAGTACTGTAGCTGTATTCAATGGCGTGGATGGGGGGGGGGGGGGGGGGGGGGGAGAGTTACACGCGAATGGCATAGAACCCAAGCACCAGTGAGAATGTAATGTATCAAGATTCCTAGACAATCCTTCTGACGCAGCTCTTCTTTTTTTATTTTAAACACACACGCAGATCCCCAAAACACTCGTGCTCTGGTCTCGAACGAGACGAGCGTCCGCATCTGCTGGCAGCGACCCCTTTACGGCAACGTGTCCGGCTACGTGATCAAGTACAAGGCTGCCTCGGATAACGTCACTTCCTTCGTGAACGTCACCACGGAGGCCATGGACAAGTGCACTCCCGTGCAGGGGCTCCGGCCCTGGACCGAATACGAGTACCGGGTCTACGCCTGGAACTCCAAGGAAGAGGGTCTGGGAAGCCCCGTGGACCGCTTTGCCACCAGGATTGACTGTGAGTTTATCTGCGCGGCTTGAACTCTTCTGCTTTAACTGCTCTAGAGGAGCGCGGTGTACGGGGGTCATTTCAAGCTGGAGGTGGAGAGATTATTCATGCGTTTTACTGGGGGCACAAGGTCGAAAATCGTCAAGCTCTGTTTCGCTAGGAAAATTCTAAATGACTTATCAGACATAAAGTCGACATGATAGGGATAGACAGTTGAGTAAATGCAGATGAATAAATGACAGGAACACGAAAGGAAAAGAAACAGACACAACGCGACATCAACTACCTGCGTCTAAAAAAAAGGCTTATTTTATATATTTATTTACTCATACTAGTCACAGCGTTTCTAGTTCCCAATGCTGCTCTCATTTCATACCTTAGCATAGTTCCGTGATGCAATCAACCATAAAAGGTACGTAAGTGCGGTCTATTTATTGCAGTGCGAGCGATGCCGGGAAGGAATTATGACTGCTGATTGGCAGCAGAAATTGATTTCATCAAATACGTTTTAATACAGAATGTAGTTTTTTAACACACCCGTAGTTAAGATTTGTGTGGCACCGTTGTGCCTTGTGGGCATCAGCAAAATATAGCGGTCTAACCGTCCTGAAAATCATACCCTGCAAACTTGCAGCTAAATTTTTCGGGCTTTCGTCCCGCTGACTTTAGAGGGACATCGCTCTGACTCACGTGGACACATAATTAGTGCAAGGCAGGACACATATCTATGGATCACTTTCGCTGTCAGATCTGCGAGAGACGAATGTTCTTTGTTTTGTTTTTAGACGGTCCAGATTAGTTTTGAAAAATGAACTTCTGTTATGTCTCTTCCAGTCCTGGGCCAAGCTGACTGCCATAGGAATAACTTGAAAAAAAGGCGACAGTGGTATTTAGTTGGTTAATAACTAAATCGTTTAAATCATCATTTCAATAATATTTATATTGTAATCACACGGCGTTATCGCAGCCGGTTTCCCTCGTGAAACAGGCAGAGGACAGGAGGATCAACATCACTAGCGCTCCTTGCCCCATGGCTTCGGTTTGAAGCCGTCTACAAGAATGACAGTTCTTGCCGCGTAGCACCGACTACGAATTCTTAGTCAAATTTTTACTTCACGGCTGTACCGCATTGTCGTCTAGTGTCACTTCCAGAACAAACGGAAGAATTAAAGTTTCATAATGTATATTACAAGGTTTTTGTTAGACGAATAATTAACCACTTTTACCTCATTTCTAGGGATCGCCATGACCACTAACATGAAGCGACTGTTAAGGAAACCCTATTGGAAGTTACTTTTATTTTTTACCTCGTCTCGTTAAAATGAGAACACCTTGAACATTGGCCATTCATTTTTCATACGGGATGCGTGGACGGTAGATCAGAGAAGCGCCCTGAGGTATTAATTGAAGTCGTGTCAGGTGCGTCATCCGTCTTAAAACCTCCAAGTCCACCTCAAAAAACGTCTTTCCGCAACCACGCAGACTGCCTGCTGAACATCTGCAAGCACGGCTCCTGCGAGACGACCCGCGACAAACCGGGCTACCGGTGCCTCTGCGAACCGGGCTACTACGGCGACACGTGCGATTGGTTCGACCCCTGCTCCCAGAACCCGTGCCGCACGTTCGGCACCTGCGTCAACACCAGCAGGGACGAGTACCGCTGCGACTGCTTCACGGGCTTCTCGGGCCGCAACTGCAGCACGTTCGACCCGTGCGCGCTTCGCCCTTCGGCCTGCCTCCACGATGGGGTGTGCCGTTCCAACGCGTCGCACACGTTCACCTGCTTGTGCGTGGACGGCTTCTACGGGAAGACGTGCCTGCACCGGGACCCGTGCTTCTCTTCCCCTTGTCTGAACCAGGGGCGCTGTTTCAACCAGTCCGACGTTGAGTTTAGCTGCCGCTGCGAACCTGGGTTTACAGGTGGGTGCGAAAGCCCTTGGGCCGGTTTCATATTTAGCTAAAACAAAGATGTGCGGATGTATGCCTCTCTTTTAATGGCGCACGACCTGTTGTTCATAAGTGTTATTGTCATTTTGCGCGATTTTATTTATATTCGTATATGATCTCCATGGTGGCAATAAAAACTAAGGGAAAAGACAAGGCGGCATGAATGCACTTTTTTTTAGCTTGATGCCTTTTCTTAGCTTTTGATATAAGCCTGGTACCCGTGATTAGTGCGTGTTTGGAAGTATTTTAATATATGTTTATTTTATATTTAATAATACAAAACAATCAATCTCAATCTCAATCAAGTTTAACTATGTGATAGAGTAAACGATTTTATGTTAAAAAATTTTACGAATTACACTTACTCTTTAGAGAGTGGCGCCCTTCATATTACATATGTCGATTGCACCGCTTTTATTTAGAGTTTCAAACCTATTACTTGCAAACTCCCCTAAATATAAGCTCTTCGCATACACCACTCATGAGAAGAAATGCTCTTGCACATCATTTATTATTCGAATAAAACATAAAGTTATGTTTTATATTTGAATTCATCGTGCCTTATCGATGTTTCAATGTTATTTTTATTAAGTAGACCGGTAATCTCATTTCAGTAAGGTAAGAAGGTAATCTCATGTCAATAAGAGTAAAATCAAATTTGCTGTTCCTCTTTATTGTGAATTTTAGCCTCATTCTCCCCCAAAAAGGTAACTCAGTTCTTCTAATGAAAAATGTGTGTGAATCTGACGCAGGAGACTTGTGCGAGCAGAACGTGGACGAATGTCTCTCCAGTCCGTGCAAAAACAAAGGCGAATGCCAAGACGGCATCAACAGCTTTACCTGTCATTGCCCCAGAGGCTACAAGGGCCCTCTCTGCGAAGTCCGAGGTAAGTTGTTCGATTGTTTGAAATGCCCTCAGTCGTAAGACACGGGAAAGCGCATGTCTGAATAAAAATAAGGAGCGTTCAGCCCCGGAGAAGGTTCACCAACATGTGTTTTGCATCTCCAACACAGAGTCCTGTCCCGAAGAGTTCCAGCAGACGGACAAAGGCATGTTCCACTGGCAGCCAGTGCAGCACGGTTCCGTGGCTAAGGTCGAGTGTCCCTACGGAGCGTACAACCCGGCCAGCGAGTACAAATACGCCAGGCGAAAGTGCCGCCTGCTTTCCACCGGACAGACTTCGTGGATGAAGGTCACTGCTCAACACTGTCGATACAAGGTATGGGATATCTTTTTAACGCCGTTCGTAAAGGCCCGTTCATAACAGAACCCATTGTGGGTTGCGGGGTTGCGGGTCCTGGAAATTGGAAAGTCTTGCTCCCGCTGCCCGTATCGAGATGCAAATTTGTGGTTCCGTTTGAATGTTTTTTGGGAGGAAGCAGCCTGCGAAAGATAATTACACGTGTTTTTTTTTTGTTTTTTTTTCATCGCCCGCGATGCGATGCGAAAATAGAGAGAAGCCATAGCCTCATATATAGGAGGAAACCAAGCGGGTTCGGTGCCACAACAATAGACGATCAGGTTCCGGTAAAAAAAAAGAGGGAGGAGAGGTGGTAGTCGAGAAGGAAAGCAACTTGCGACTAATCAGTCCTTTTTGGTGTGTGTGTATTTCGAGGGAAAAACCATAAAGGAGCGACCGGCGGCTTACACTTCTCTCTTAGTGAGAGTATAAGAATGCTTTGAGAGACTGGGAAAGAATGGTACCCTGTAAGCGGAAATTGGTCAAAAAAAAGCTTTTTTTTCTTGAAAACTAAAAGGCTGAGCAGAGTTTAGCAAAGCTTCCTCGGATCTCTGGGAGGCGCCGCCATCCTTGTGCCTACTGTCTGCCATGTTCTCTCAACCTATCTCCCCCAGTTTTGGCATCCGTTGTGGGGTCGAAGACGCAGGTTTCATTTCTATATAGAAAGTTATGGTGAAGCGCTTGGGCAGTGGAGGATTCATCTTGAACAGGTCAACAAGGCGATGGAGTGAACAAACAAAAAAATAAGGCCGCCCTGCCCTTGCAGGGTCCCTAAAGTTTAAATACATTCAACTTTTTGAAGATCATTCAACTCCCAATGCGGCTAACGAAAGATGCTAAAGGTCAGCGGCGACGTCTTACGAACCTCAATTACTTTGCGATTTCATGAAACCGCAACCCGCAATCTAGTTTGGTCTTAACCGCTCTTAAGCTGACACTTACATGTAGTTGCAATATAAACCAAAATTAAGGGTACAAGGAACACGTGTTTATCGAAACGCACTAGGAAAGTAGTCGTAGGTCGTGGGAGAAGCTTAAAGAGACACCCTATAGCCTATTCAACCATGGGACACTGTGAAAGCTACGACTCCAGCCAGCCGACCAGGACTTAAGGGTGGGACACATAACAAAGTGCCATAGGTGAACACTCGTTCTGTGTCAAGTGCTTCACTATGTCACTCTAGTTAGCTTGCGGTGGTTGTAGCTTTCGCCCTCCATAAGACGGTGCTGAAAAACAGTCTAGAAGGCTAAGAGTAACGACTGACATTTCGCTAACAGATTTAGCTTCATCCTGATGAAGATCTACGAAACGTCAGCTCCATGTGGCTTCTAGAACGTTTCTTTATAGTTTTAAGAGCATCCACATATCTTGTTTTGAAAGTATGTTTTACAGGTCGCGCGATATCTGGTAGGACGTACGCAAGTTATAATCGCAATCCTAGGCTTCCACACTCTAAAACAAATTGTGCGTCTACTTTCCCGCATAGCCCATGGAGAGCCAATCATAACTTACGGAGGCAGCTTAGCGAATGACGGTGCCAAAACATATGTTTATACGAAAAAACGCAGTCTGAGTTGTGACATTAAGCAATGCAAGCGTGAGGCTTTGCAGTGTTTAATGTCACAACTGAGACTGCGTTTTTTGTCCTAAGCATATGTTTCGGCATCGTCATTCGCTGAGCTGCCTCCGTTAGCTGCGGTGATTGGCTCTCCCAGTGTGTGCGGAAAAGTATACGCACGGTTTTTTTTTTTTTTTTAGAGTGTAAATGCATCACTATAAAAAAAGCGTTTCAGCCTTCAGGACCGTTAATGGCATTTTTTAAGGTATATTTTACTAAGTTAAAATTATGTCGCGGGTCCGGTTTTGTGGAAAATGTAAGCATTCGTTTACGGCCATGTCTTATTTGCGTACATGATCCGCAATAATAGTCAGGCAATCCCTCTTGAAGGCCACAGGCATGGCTTTCGAAACAAGAATGTGTATATTTAGTTGAAATCATCCGTGGATAATAGTCTCCTCACTTCGAAAGCTGCGCCTGCGGTCTAGCAAAAAGCACATAAGCACAAGACCAGTTTTCCCGGTGAGGGGTATTTAGCAAAAGACTGAATAATTTGTAAAAAATGATGGGACGAGATGTCGCCGAAACTTGCAACAAGTATTCTGGTTTATTGGTATTTTGTAGCTAAAACCATGTGCGGAAACAGCCCAGGGGTGTTAATCAGACCAACATGGCAACAAGAGTATAGGACAGTGAGAGAGCACATATTATCTTCATTCTATTCTTGTGCATTTTCTCTCGCTGGCGCACCACCCGACTAAATGTGTCAATAAATGCCAGTATTTTCTCTTCAACATAAATCGCCAAAAGAGGAACTACGGTGGTATAAACTGAGCGACCAACCGGACAACTGATATATAAGTAAGCGATCGAAAACAAAAGGTTCTTTAACATTTGGAACTAGTAGAGACAATATTGCCACATGAGCGTGGCCTATTAAGTTCACTTCTTTGTGATTGGTTCCTCTGTATTTTTAGCGGCTAACACCTCAATGTCATTACTGCAATGCTGTAAAAAGATTTTCGGAACTCGCCCCGCCCTACCTTTCGTAAGCGGTCAGTGACCGTAGTAGCTCTACTTTAAGCACAATCAAATGTAGCGTTGACAGATCTTTTACAGAACCTAGTCTTTTTTTTGTGTGTGTGTCTATAGGTAGTAACGCCATAGCCCCAAAAGCTCCTCGTCATTTTATTTTCAAAAGCTATTATTATCAAAATGTATATCTTGTCGTTTTTGTTTCTTTTTATTATTCTTAGAGCTTTCAAACGGCAGAGAACATCACCTCCGAACTCGAGTTCCTAACCCACGATCCAGGAAGCATTCGGCCAGACCAGCTCCTGTCATTTGCAGAAAAAATCGAGCCGGTTGTCGAATACGCCATTAAAGACATAAAGGTGAGTTCCATTATGAATCGATATATCCCCTCACTTGATTTTGAAGACTTTATCTCTACGTGTACCTTATACATATGAAAGCGAATCTGCATAACAATATATGTTTAAAAAATAATAATTGCAGCGATATTTTTGCGTTGTCTGCCCAGATTGCCCAAGCGATGATACACGTTATCAGCAACTTCCTGGCCCTTAACGACAGTGTGATTGAGGAAGGCGATGCCAACGGAAGTGCTGTGGAAAGGTAAGTTGCTTCCCACATTCGTTAATTTGGAGAAACAAAAATCTCCTCGACTTGAGAATCTCCTTGATGATAGCATATCTATCAAATTATCACGGATGATATCTTAACCTCCCGAATAACTTAAAAAGAAAAAAACTGAAATAAAAAAAACAAAGTGGGGGCCTAGAAGGGGCACATATTTTTCCATTTTTTCCAGAAAAAAAAAAGTGTTTTTCTAGCGCGCAACATTTACGTTGCTGCACGGAATTTAGGTGGAAGTCACGGCCCGCTCTAAGCCCCGCACAATGATCAGTGACCCCAGACCGTTACTACTGGAATGGCTTGGCTACTCGGCCGAACACACTCAAAGGCATCTTGGTTTTAAAAGCGCACAAAAAACGAGGACAGAGTAAGAAACACAAACGACGGACGAGCGCTCTGTCCTCGTCTTTTGTGCGCTTTTAGAACCAAGATGAATAACTACCAACTAGCCCAACTTTCCACCCTACTGCACTCAAAGGCCTAGCGTCTCCCTATCGCGACGTCGGTGCGCGTTGTGTGGCTAGCGTGCTGGAACGCGTCTCCGACTGGTGTGTTTAGCGTCCTATATTCCGCCCATGCATCGACAGTGATCCCGAAGTGGCAACGAATGACGTCACGAAAGCCGGGGTGTCATGCTGTCGGATGTCGCGATCCTAGCGGTTGGTCGCAGAAATGCTGGCGAAAAGCACGAGCGCACGTGAGAGTCGCTGTCGTCAAGCCACCCCAACTCCTGGCTGCCGAAGCTTCCCTGAACTGTCAATCTGGAGAGCCACCACCGCTTCTGTTATGCCACCATGATGGCGGCCGGCGACAGAATGACACTCTTATGACGTCATCAGGCGGAAATCGAGGGATCACTTATTTAACGCGCTAAGCACACCAGTCGGTCACGCGTTCCAGGCGCCATAATCTGGCCACCACCTGCTAGCCGTGCGAGCGGACATGCGGCAGAATCCGGCATCTTTTGCGATTCCACCACCGTCTATCTTCGTCTGCAGCGCCCGTAATACTCGGCCATGCAAGCTCCGAGTCGGCGTCCGTTATCGCCTGAGTCCATCTGTGGTTTCGGCCCCGTTTAGAAAAACGTCTGCAACGCTCGCAAGAAGCGACCAAGAAATCGAAGCTCTAGCGTTCCACATGCAGCAGCTACGTTTGTCAGCGTCTGTCTCTTTACTGTAGAAATCGACCGAGATAACAAAAAAATCAACAAAATAAATGGGCAGGGTTTCAGCCTTACTCGTCTTTTTTTTTTCACATGGCACACGCGAGCAGGTGGGTCAGCGACATGACGTACAATGAAAACGTGACCTAGATAAATACTTGCCTTTCGAAGTGCACTAGCGGAAATACACTTGGACAAAGTTGATGCGAGACGAACGCGCTATTGCATCCAACCAAATGGCTCGTAAATTCCTACTTATGTAGGTAATAGGTATCTTCTCGGTATTGAAATCATGGTCGCAAGCACGACGATTTCCCAGTTCGCAGCGCAGAGGGACGACTTTAATAGGAACCAACATCTTCATTCTGCATCAACACGCGCATACAAACAAATCAAGCGAGGTGAAGCAAAACACTTGACGTGGGAAGCTAGGCTTAGGCAAGTCCATCTATCAAAGAAGCACCCCCACATCGATTCCGAAGGTGCATACTTGCGACCGTGTATTCCTGCTAACTAGGTCAGTCGGATAGATGTTTTTTTTTAAACGCCTAGGGAATCGCAAAACAACTCGCAATCATAAAAATAAACAAGCTCAAAGGGCTACGCTCGTTGGGCACAACACTAAAAACTCTAGTAATGTTCATTATCGTTTGAAACTATTGCAGAAAAAGCAATATAGATATATACTTGAACAATAATGACTTTATCTAGGTTATTTTTTTTTCTCAAACATAACGATATTGTCGACAAAAATACTGCTGCGGTAGGATGAAGAATATCACGAGGAACACATCTCACGTCAATCATTTCTCTTACCAATGAGAGGCAAGAAACGGTGCTCATTTAGCCAATCAAATTTTGTTATGGGCGGGGCCGAGAGCTTGGATTCCGTCTAATGGTGTAAATATTCTTTCTTTGTAACTAAAAAAAATACACCTTCCCATTTGAAATTTTTTTAATGTCCCTTTAATGTCTCGGATGAGCATAAAAATATTATTTAGTCATGGCTGAGATACACGCGGCCCACAAACATTTTAAGGTCGCAGAAAGCGCTCTTAAGGTGAGGTTGAGGCAGATGTGCTGCAGAAGCAAGGAATCCTGGGTTCGAGCACCTCCCCGTTTCGATCTGGATGAGCATCGTACCGGCGTGCGGTCGTGTATCACTACTACGTGAGCACGTTAAAGACCCCAGGTTAGCAGTCGTACTACACTGGCCTAATTGCTCATCTACGGTGTAAACCAGTGTCGCCCCATCCTTGCACACCTACCTTACGCTGTATAAACACTAAACGTAAAATCTGATCTGACATTGAAGCAGACGTATGTTTGACAGTTAAGTTGCTACTTTTTGGCGTGAAACCAAACCATCTTCGTGTACGCGGCTCAGCTGTTCAACGTGTTTACGACCAATCACGAGAAATCCTAGACGACCAGGTGCTCGATCTTCGAGAGTCTTGTAGATTTATTGATAAGCATAAGGACACCCGAATTCAGTGAAAGCAAGTAGTGAGCTTTCATACCTGGGGGTATTTAAGGACTAAATCTAGGCACTGAATCAATTTTGAAAGTGGGAGTAGTTAGAGGTTGTTAAAAATGCAAAAGAAAAAAAATCTTTTAACACGAAACAGAAGGCACGGCTAAAAAGAATCCTAGCCCAACACCCCAATTCTCGGTGAGGCTAGGTAAATTGTAGGGTTCGGCGTTGATTCAAAAGTTTAACCCGATTAATCGCCACCATCTAAAGTCTCGTTCATTCCACAAATAATATTTAAAAAAAAATTAAAAAAAAATTGTTTAATTCTGTTAAATGGCGCATTATACAATTTTGATTATGATTCAACCTCGAAGTTTTTCTCTTATCATTCAACCTCACATTTCAGCTGCATGAGGCAAAGGGGTTCGTTGATATTCTCTGAAAGAGCGACCTCCTGTGATTGTTTACAATATCCTCTGCTACGCTGAACGGACATTCGAGGAACGTTGAAATGGCAGGGGTGCGTTAACCTTCTGCAGTTTCCTAGAGTGACAAATCTAGCCCCTACAGTTTACTTTAGGCTAAATCTTGACTTTAAGCTCTCCCTCCATACTGGTGTACATGTCCACGAGTGCGTGATGAAAGCGTTTAATTTTAACTTTCTTTTTGGTCCGTCAGCATTTTACCGACTACTCGGTTAAGATATATTTGCCACTAAAGCAGTCATTAATTCTTCGGTAGGCAAATCAATGAATTGCCCGTCCCTAGTAATCTGCTTAAATCTCGAAATCTATCGTGATGGTTCCCTATATTTTTGCTCAAACCCACAATCTTGCAGAACCTGTCACATCCCTAAAACAAAACATCCCGTCGCGAAAAAAAAAAAAAAAATGTCCCTGCACCTGCGGCCTTTTTGCCTAAATATTTGCGCCGGATGATGTTTATGGCCCTTTCTAATTTATTTATAAATTTATTTATTATAATAACAGACTTCAACACCTAAAGATTAAAGCGTTAAAGCATGGTACTACTAAGAAGAAAAAAACGGGTTTGTGGAATATAAATATGATAAAATTAAGTAAAAGCTGTTAAATAAACTCAAACGTAAATCAGAATAGGCAAGTTAAAATGTCAAAAAACTTTCTAAAATAATCGATCCCATGTAATTAGTAATATCCGGGACTTCACGATCAGAATTCGCCCAACCGTAGCGTCGCGTGTTTTGATCCCGGCTATTTACCACCAGTTGGGAACAAATTCGATGGTGTGTGTAAAGAGCATGATACAAGCTTAGGATATCCCTTGCCTATCTGCAACATAACCGAACTTAAGCTCCTGGAGTGCTTGTTATTTTATACAATGAAAGACAACTATCACCAACTAAAGGCGTTATTGTAAGGTTTTTGGTTAATCGTCGAAGGCCAGCAGCATGAACCCTTTCGCTCGCGTACGTCATTAATACCTTGCACCTCGTATCCTCTTCAAGGTTGAGGACTGTGGTGGAGAAGTTCACCTCCGAGGTGGTCCTTGGCTCCGGCGCGCTCATCATCGAGAACGAGAACCTGGTGGTAAAGGCCGTGGCCTGGTCCCCTAAGTTGCTCGCCCAGGGGCAAGACTTCCTCAGCTTCTCCCTGAGGTCCAATGGTGACCACTATCTTCATGAGGACTTCTCGGGAGACGGGGATGACCAGGAGGATGGCGACGTACGTTTTTTCCTGGCTCTTTGTAGCTTGCAAAACACTGGATGCTGTTCGTGGGGATGTAATATGGTTGGAACAAGAAATTTCTTAGCGTAGGAAGAAGACACGACGCTATTCTCAGCAATCCCATCTTCATCAAATGCTGCTTTAAGGCCAACAACAGTGTCCATGTGTGATTGTGATATCTTGTTAGTACAGCAAGACACAATTAAAGTAATTAAGTGTTTTTAAAGCAACTAATGAACATCTTTAGATCTGTTTTTCCATTGCTTTTCCTCCTGGATCGCCTAGGCCCATATATGCCAAAATGATCTTTTTCTTTTCATTCGGTTGCATTAACACCACAACCTTTTTTTATATGCGAGGGATCTTGGAAAGTACCGCATGTCCAAAAACATGACCCATTCTTGACGAGTAATCAGGTTCAAGATGTTAAAATGTTGCTAAGAATGTGTACCGCGCGTGTCTACAAGAAGTGTTCATTGTTTTTCTTTAGTCTGTTTAAGCACGTAACGTGCAAACAGGTCAGGTGTGTGTGGCGTCATATTCAAAGAAGAACTGCGTCGTAGGCAACAGAGCGCTCACAAGTCAAGAACATGGTACTCTTCGGGGCCCTCTTTTATTCCGCAACCCACAACCGCTGTAAAATTAATGCTGGTCAATCATTTACCTTTTAGTGTGTAAGAATACATTTCGGCAGCTTATGACCGCTTACGACGACATACCACAACCGAACCATCTATAGAATAGCCCTGGCCCACTTGGGGTATGCGTTTTTTTACACATTTAGTTACGAATCACTATTACACCTTTGGGACGTGCGACACCTAATTGGGGCTTGCCGCTCCAGCTTGGTAGCTAGTTTTCAGCGCCCCCAACGGCAGCTCTCATGTTACGTCATATGCGGAGAGCAAGTCGTCTGCTTCTTGCGCAGGAACTGCGGTGACGTCAGAAAGACGTTGAGCTCTGATTGGCTCAGATTGAAGGATAGCGTGTAGATTTCAAATCAAGCTGCCTTGGGGTCTACCCACTATCCTTCATTCAGAGCCAATCAGAGCTCGGCGTTCTGACGACGCCACAACCCCTGCAAAAGAAGCAGAAGGGAGCAGGCAGTGAAACGCCGCCCGCTCCCTTCTTTTCTATGAGTCCGCGGCATCCTGGCAGCATCCGAAGATTACCGCGGAAGTGTTTTTTTGTTGTTTTTTTTTGGTCTCGCTATTAAGTGAAGATTTCCCACCTTGAAACTGAAAAACCTGCCCTCGTCCGGCGTTGCTCGGTGTGAGTGCTCACGCCACACGGCCCGCAGAAATTACTCAGAGCTCAGATTCAATTGTCTCGCAGCAGTTGTAAGCGGCAACGACGGGAAAACACCGCCATCTTTTAGGGGCGAAGCTCCTTAGGGTCTAGTCTTGTCCATCCATCCGTCCGGCGTCCGTGCTCACATCAATTGCACTGCCTCCGGGATCGGCCCACTTTAAAAAAAAAAATAAAAAAATAAAAAAAGATTTTAGGATTGCTTGCGTACGAGGCAGACGTCTTAACCACTACGCTACACTCCAACGTTGCATGTAGCCGCTCAACGTCTGTACAGGAGAGGGCGCTGCAGTCAAATGCGCATATAATCGCGTTAAACTTTGCATGCATTGGCTCAACGTTTACAAACGAGAGGGCGCTGCGGTCAAATGCTCAACTGCGTATATAACCACGATCCATACCACACATTCTCTTTCTGACATGAACCGTTCACTTAAGCGGTGGAGATGCGTTCCCACGGCTTCTAGCGGATCCAAGCTGATCGGCTAGAAGAACCAGAGGCTCTGCATTTCACCGACCATAAAGCAGTAATAATAAAGTCGAAACGCAACCCGGAACTCAGCACTACCTATGAGCAATAAAAAGATCAGCACCATCAGCACTACCTATGAACAATAAGATCAGTATCATCAGCACCACCAGAGCTTCGCCCCAATCAACACCATTCACCACGTGGAGATGCGACCTTCTTTTTCTTTCTTTCATCCTCGCTGGAAAGTCTTCTGCAAAGCGCTTGTGCGTTCGACGGTCTGGAAACCACCACGAGACGACATTCATCAGTGCCAGTGATTGATAAGACCTATGTAATTAGTATTTTGGTTCTGGTTTTTATCGATTGCGTTTCGCTCGCTCTCTGATGGAGCAGACGTACTGGGAACGAGATGATCGCGACCGTTTTCGACAGAGCATGGAGGAAATTTGTGTTCTCAGTTTCCATGTCCTGTGCAGAAAAAGTTAGTGCCGATTTTCTGGCCGAACGTTTTGTATAGCGCAGTGCTCAGTTAAGCTGATATTGATTAGAATCAACGGTCAACTGCTACAGACGACGTTTATGCGGAATGCTCTTGCTACACTCTGAGAAATGCCTGCGCGTCTACTTACCCGCGAAACACTCCAAGAGCTAATCTCTGCGATCATGTCACGCAACACTATAAAATCACATGACAATATGGCGTCACATGACATTGGCATGTCCGGTGATTACATGGCGTAACACTGTTACGTCACTTGACGTGACGCCATGCCGTCACGTGGCGTCACAGTGTCAGACGACGGCGTGTGACATTCATGGCTTTATATATGATCAAATGCCTCGAGATATACCCTCATAGAAAACCTCAAAATGGCGTCCTTTATAATCTCTTGACAAAATGTGACACAACCAATTTATTTTTGGTTCCAGCCCTAAGTATATATGAGTTTATTTAGATTAGTTGCAAAACGGAAACGTACAAACTAAACAGCTGATGTTTGGGTATCTGAAACCGTGTTTCTTCTTTCAGAACATCGTCATCACGATCCCTTTCGAAGCCCTCTCGATGGCCATCAACGAGTCGAGGCGCATCACTGGCGAGCCCGTCAGGCCCATCCACGAGGTCGAGAAAGGCCCGAGAATTTCGTTCGTCTCGTACAGAAACGACAAGTTCTTCCGGCCACGGACGCCGAAAATCGGCGACCTCGTTAGCGCAGGTTCGAAGCCTTACACTTGTTTGAGCAATCACGTATATCTTCGTTTTCGCTCTATGGTGCCTGCACCATAGAGCGAAAATCTTTCACTCCCCCTCCCCTACCCCAAAACAAAGGTGACATATTGAGCCATCGGCTCAGCAACACTTCCTTTCATTTCCTCCTCCCAATACTCTGACTGACTGACTGGTGCCTGCAACGTGCTTTCGACTCGCCTGTCTAGCCTCCCAAAGTGTCCATGCATCAAAAGTCGTCCCTGAAGTGGCAACAAATAGTGTCACAGGAGCCGAATGAGTGTGTTATGCTGTCTGATATCGGTATCTGGGAGGTCCCATCCCCAAATTTTTTGTACATCAACACCTCGGCACCTGCTCTAAAATAAGAATCTCAACTGAACAACGACAAACATCGCAATGTTCCCTGGAAATATTTTAGGTGACAGTCATAAAATATCATTAAGCAATAGTTCAGCTTTTGGACGCGTAAGTTTTCATTCCCCGCCTCGACGAAGGTCTTTGCGTTGAATCTAATGGGCCACATTCACTAAATTTTCACTTTCTGCCTTTCTTTAGAAAAAATCGTATTGTCACAGAGGACCATAAAAGTACGCGTCTCGTATAATAAAAATTAATTGGCATTTTAATATTCCCTGAAAGCTTTTTGTTCCACGGAATGTTCCTGAAAGTTGACCATCTGGTCATTGATGTTTCGCAAAACATTCAAGTGATCGCGAATGGGGTGGGGGTCATGTGATCGCCCTCTTCGACACCTGTTCTCTCTCGCCTTCGGTCGCCCGTTCCCTCGTCGATCTTAGAATTTGCAGACAAAAATGGGACGGCCAAAGCATACGCCGGATCAAGCAGCGACTGCTTGACGGCGCTAACGCTCCCGTGAGACACAGCGTCATCGAAGTGTTAGCGTCAACGATGTCACCCTGGGTGTAAGGTTGGAAAGCATTCGACGTCACGATCATGCTGTGCATGAACGCGAAGCGGCAAGAAAAAAAGAAGGTTACCGAGCGAAGAATAAACACTCTGGTGCGACTAAGAAATGTTTCGCTGCGCGTTCGTGAGAACGTATTTCGTGCTAGCTGTGTGTGTGTGTGTGTGCATGATCGGTTCTGGTTTACGCGAGTCCTGGTGTCTTTTCTGGCTGCTTGCCATGAGGTTCTTTAGTCGTCGTACCCAGACAGTGACGTGACTGCCTTCAATATGCGTACTACATGCCTATCCACTGTTCGTGCGTAGGCACGTGGCAGAAGTAGCAATCACCGCGTGACGCAAAACAACATAAAAATAACAAAATGTCACATTACCGGGCGACGCAACATCACCCAAATTCTAACTCAATCACGACGCAATATTATCGAAATGTCGCACCAGCTGACGCTCACACTCGAATTACTTTGCGTGATCATCCACAAAATTGTTTTAGTATTCTATCTCTGACTGATCTTGATTTGCAAACCAATTCCCGCAATAATACCAGGCTTAAAATATCGGTGGTTTTATATTCCTTGAATTATATCAAATAGAGATTACTGCTTCTAGTTTCATTTGATATCATGATGTTAGTATACAGTGAGTTAGAATATACCAAATTTAATTTGTCTGCGGTGTCTGTCTTTGCGCTCGCGTATCAGTCGGTATTAAAACATTGAACTGTGCATTATTTCGCCTAGAAAGCGTGTAGATTCGTCCCCTTTTTTCTCTCTTATGAGCTTAGGTCATTGTAAGCCTCATCTACCAATACAACGATGAGCACCTAACTTTCAACATTGCTCTGACAATGTTAAAAATTCACTGGCTTGTTCATGCCTTCATGCTGTAACATGTTGTCCAATCAAAATCAATTTCTTCTTTCCTTTCCCTCTAGGGCAAGTGGTGCTTTCCGCGAAGATCGGACTGGGCAATGTGGAGAACTTGAGCGACCCTCTTGTCTACTCGTACCCCACGTACAACACTGAGAAATACGTCTGCGCTTTCTGGGACGAACGCAGTGAGTTCACGTGTCCTTGTAGTTTATTTTATGTGATATTCTAGACTATTTTACGAAGCTGCTGGTTCATATGATGCAGTTAGCGGCGGAAAATAAACCAAACCACAATGCTGCAAATACAAATATTGGTCCAGGGGCCGCAAACAGAGACCCTTTGACGACTAGAGTGTGGTGCTTAATTTTGTGCGTCAAAGCCCGGAGTCCAGCGCGGAGCACACATTTGAAAAAGCTGCGTGATTACTCGCGCCCTGTCTGCGTCGTGCGTAGAATCTGATAGTTGACTGGAAAAATATAGCAGTATGGCCTTGTAACCTAAAAAGTGTTTCTGCAAGTTTTCCCTTTTTTTAGAATTTTCTCTTTTTTTTTCATTTTGCTGAGAGAATAAAAAAACTCAACTTATTTTTTCTTATATGTTAAATACACGCTTTTCTAAGCCTTTCCCGTTCCACGCGGAAGTAAAATTTTGGCCGATATGCAAATTAAAAAAAGTGCAGTCAAAAATAAACGAACATCGATAATTTTAACGTAATGCCCTCAGAGGTAGTTGCATTCGTAGTTATATAGAGCAGTGGTTCTCAAACATTGATGTTTCGCGGACCTCTTTCATTGATGGAGGACCCCGTTCGTGTTAAGGCGAAGGGGCAGGTACAGGCTAATTATGATAATATTTAGTAAATGGATACAAGGGATAGTGTGAAGTAGACTGCGCTCATTGACACAACGTGAAAAGACTTACCCGAAAATTGGAAAGTTTCTTTTCAATTTAAAGAAATACAAGTTTTATTGCCGGTCTCGTCCGATGAAGCACGGCTTCGTGGGCCCCTAGGATGCCTTCCCGGAGCCCAAAAAATCCGCGGACCTCATTTGAGAACCACTGACATAGAGTATGTATTAATTTTTTTTTCTGTATTCCGCTACAGGAAGAGAATGGTCGACAGCAGGGATCACGACCAACCAGTCTGGCAATATGACGGTGTGCAGTTCAACCCATTTAACAGCATTTTCGCTCCTTCTGGTGAGATCCCCTTTTAGCCTACACGTTGAACGAAAAACAATTCTGCAAATCTAGAAACGAATGTAGAAACGGATGTTTGTGATACTTTTGTACATCACAATTTAGTGATTCACCCTATGAAAATAAGTGATTTCGTGAATCATGGTTTGTGCTGCTTTGACAATTTTTTTTTCCCTTTTTAGCGTTTGCAAACAAATCAGACTTTCGTGAAATGGAGGTATATCAGATTTCGTTTTGGTAGGCAATTGACTATATATCTTATATCCTGCGATACTTGATGATAATGATTGAATCACTTATTTACTAGAATCTGACTTTATGGCGTATTTTAGTAACGCGATTTTCCTACTGATTTTCAATTCTCTAAATTACAAAAAAAATCTCGATAGAAACGTTGGTATAAATTAATGTCTTTTTAAAATGTTAGCCTTGCAGCAGCTAAGTATTCATGGTGGAACCAGCGCTAATAGAAAACAAAGGACGAAGAAAGGAAACAGACAGGGCCAAGTATTGTCTGTTTTATTTTGTCTTGTTTTCAGTCGCGCTGTTTCCACCTATACTGCTCATCCACATGCCTAACATTTTACGCTATTAAAATACTAAGACCCATAGCGAAGTGTCGGCTCTCCACGCTGCGACTTACAGCTAAATGCTCTTTAAGTTCCGTCTACCTGACACGACCCCTTATGTAATTTATTTAAACAAATTGAATAGTCAAAGTGTGTACGCTAGCATGCCGCCTGCAGCTTTGCCCTCAAGTTGTGACGTTTTGATTGCAATGTACATTTACGTTATCTGCTCCCCTGGAAGCGAGAAGTGGCAGTCTAGGAAAAAGGTTTTGCTCTTCACAGATGCAGGCTTAGAGACTCCAAATATCACTAAAGATATATGTGATAGTCCGTGGTCTATCGTCCTGAATTCAACACACATCGTACATTTTTTTCAAGAATGAAATGATCGTCTATAGGAGGGCATTAGTAAGAAGTGATAAAAGGAACTCAGAGAAAATGTCCAAAAAGCGTAATAGTGGCGGCCAACACTTAAAGCGACGGATTTGCCGTTTCTGTCAGGTCTCTTGACTATAAGCTGAATCTTATCGTGGTGATTCTCGGGTACTTTAATCTGAAAGCTAACTAGGAGGGCATCTCGTCGGCCCCTTCGAGGCCGGTATTTTGCTCCACGGGAGTAATACTGTTTCTAGAAGTGCCAATGAAGCAGGAAACTTACCTACTTCTTGCCTCTGGTTTATCTGAGACTTAGGATAGATTCCTTTTGTAATCGCTGTATTTTGATTGGAATATAGCATCTTTAGTAGGATGGGGGAAATGTGATTAGAAGTTTAGATGAAATAGTTGTGTTTTTATTTTGAAACAAGAAGTTATTAACATTAATTACTGCAAAGCATCGTACTGGCATTTATAAAACTTTTTTTCATAAATGTCTTCTGGTTGCATGTGTCGTTATTAATTACCTGGTTAACCTATGCCCGTAACCGAGGTGTCGGTGTCTCTAATACGCAAACTCATCTCATTAAACATTACAAGGTGAAATTCTTTGGAATGATATGATATATACATTAACTAAACAAACTTTGAACAAACATTGAGTAGACGGGCATGCTGGTTTATGTTACACATAAAAAAAAGGTTTGTGTTTGTCGCACTATTCGTTTTTCGTCTTCGGTTTTTCAAAAATGTAAAACTAACATTCACAATTTTTTTTTGCAGGATCCGATGCCCGGCCTTAGCACACCTTCTCATCACTACCGCATTCTCTCGTTGATATCCTACGTAGGCTGCATCATGTCCATCATTGGTCTCTTCTTCACAATTCTCACGTACGCCCTCTTCAGGTAAGTGTAATCATTAGTGACATCTAAAATATTTTTTAACCCAGGACTTAAAATATGTACACAGGGTTAGTTGAAGCTTGGTTTTAGGAATGTATAACTCACAAATAGGCACACTATGTTTTGTGCTACATTTCGCCTTCCAGCCAAACACCAATGTGTGACGAAGTTCGCATAAAGTCAAGCCTGAATCAAAAGAGCGAAATAACGATGAAAGGAACACGGAAACGGCTGACCTTCTTTCATGACTTTCTCTGTCAAGAAAATGTAAAACTTTTTTTGGGAAGAGGACTGGAGAGTGGAGGAAAATAAAAAGGAGGTGGCTTTCAAGAGTAGAAAGCGCAAAGTCTGAAGTACTTAGTGCGACGCTTGCCGACGAAAAATCAATCGTCGGTTTCTCTTGTTTTTCTTTTGAACTGGAAGGTTATTATGAAAACTATTGCTAGTCCGGGTGAAAATGCTTATTTGGGGCTGGCTACAATGCAGGCGGTAGAGTTTGGTGCTAGTCAATAGCCGGTCTTATTAAAATTTGAGAGGGCGCCCTTGTCATGTTCGAGCTAACGGTGTCGAGCAGAACGAGGCCTTAATTTAGCGCAGACTTTCTGATATTTTCATTTCAAGTACGTTCATAAAGCACAAACTATATCTTTATGTACTTAAAATTATTATAGGCCTGACACTTCAAAACATATACGTGTCGGCAACTTCCCTGAAGATTACATAGGGACCGAAGTACAGTTTTTTACTAAGAAGACTCCATTGAGCCTAGGCCGTAGAAAATGTTTTTGAACTGAAAATGACGTCCGCGATGTTCTGAGAATAACGTGAGCATGGGAAACATCATACTCGGTGTTAGGTTGCAGATTTCATTTTTTGGGACGAGCGATCTTGGGTTGTCTTCCTCCACCGACCTACCCCCACCATTCTCGGAGAATTTTGTCTGAAAAAACGCACATACAATTTGAGGCCACTGAAGATTTTGGGTTCACATATTAAAGATAATCAAAACCGGATTAGTTAATCGTAATGGCGCATTTTAGTTCAGAGTTTTGTCCGTCAGAGTCTCTCAGCCGCCAACAATTATTGTCGCAAGGGTCCGCTTACTTAACTACAATACTTCCCTGTTCGTCCACAACGAATTCAGGTGCCTGAACAAGGACCGCTCCGGAAAGATCCTGCTGAACCTCTGCACCGCCATGCTTCTGCTGAACGTCGGCTTTCTAGTGGGTTCGCTGTACGAGCGGGTCAACCGAGTCGACCTGTGCCTGGCCACCGCCGTGTCCACCCACTACTTTGTACTGGCCACCCTGGCCTGGATGGGCGTGGAGGCCCTCAACATGTACCAGATGCTGGTACACGTTTTCGCCTCTTCCGAGACCTGCTTCATGCTCAAGCGGTCTGCTGTGGCGTGGGGTGAGCATCGGAGTTCCACCTATAGTGTTCACCTATGATTCCCGTTTAGTTTCTGGAAAGCGCCTCCAGCGGGCAAGTTTAGTGCCCTAAATTATTTTACTCTTCGAGGTGGCAAAAACAAATTATACTGCTGCCTTTATCTCCAAAGTGCTATATATTGCCGGGAATGCAGTTTTTAGGAAGCGATCGTTAAAAAATGCTTAAACGACATATAAAAAAAAATTAAAAAGATTATGCAAGAAAAAAAAACATTTTCCTCACTCAATTGAGATGGAACATTAATGTGGCGTAACTATAAAATTACAACACAACTTGACACCGTGACGTATCGTCACATGACAAGGTAGCGTGACGTCAACATATCCAAGAAATCTAGCCGGTAATATTAATTGGTGTATAGATCACATGACAGAAATTCCACCAATAAATTTAGCGGAAAATCTGAAGCGTTAGGTCGCGTGACTTCTATTTTCTCCCTAAATTTTGTGAGGAACTAAATTGTTGTATACGTGACGGGACGTCAGGACACGTGACGTCAACTTCCACGCCTTATTTGGCAAGGAAACGGAATTGGTGTTTATTTAATGTGCCGTCGATTTATCCAGAAAAAGTTCGACAGGAAAGGCACAGAGAGACGAATGGACGGATGTACGGACACATTTCTGAGATTGCTGGTTCGTTACCACCAATGCCACTATATACCACAAGACCTTGCGGCTAAAAATCGTCTAAACTGAATTTTATTTTATCTCTTCCGCTGGTTGGCAGGCTGCACCGAAACATTCACTTACCTTATTCCGCCTAGTAGTCAAGAGCTGCGCATTTTGAATGATCTTTAATATCAGAATTAATTCCTTATTTCCAACTGAAGGAGTGTAAGGAGCTAAGATAAAAACAAAATTGCGCTCTGCCTTATTCCTTGCACATGGTTACAACGCTCATCAGAAAAATAAGAATAACAAACTATCATTCATGAACATGAACGGGACATCACACACGTCTTGAGTAATGCGCGCAGACGAATAAGTTCACATACCAACTGCAGGTGATGACACATTGGCAATATAATGCTTAAGATCTGCTTTTATGTCTTGAACGAGCGGGTAGCTTGAGCCAATTCACTATGACAGGGTGCCGGTTTAGTGCATTTGGAATGAGATACGCGAATGGCTGCAAACCCTAATTTTTACGAGCTTAACTTTGTTCGATCATCGTTAAAAAATCACGGACCCGACAGAAGCAGCCAACGGTCCAAAGCTCAACCGGAGCGCGTGGCGTGATGCACCTTACGAATATCCAGTTTCGCACAGTTTGTTCAAAGAAGAACGTTTAAATGGAAAGAGCTACAACATAAACAGTATCGCCTTTATACTGCTGATGCACTAAAACATTAAGAGTGGCTACTTGGCTAGATTTATTAGATATAAACACCACGAAAGACAGACAAGGACAATTAGCGCCAGACCCGCTTTTTTCGTGTCTATCTATGGTGGGTGCTATTAAAGTATACAGTGTGTTGAACTGTCGATGCAACATTTGGCTTCGGGAAATACTTCTCAGAATTTTGTTTTCACTTTCATGTATTAATTAACAAGGTTTTTTAGCGCAGCATGTTCGAAATATGGTACCATTTTGTTTTACAGGATTGCCAGCAGCTGTCGTGGCCACTTGCGTTGTTATAGACCTGGAACCCTATAAAAGACATGACGAATTGTAAGTACGGCTTTGAATTGTGGTACATAAGAAATTGGGGTATTTTAGGCGCAAAGTAGATAAAATAGCAGAACGGAAAAGAACGCTTGTGAAAGCTTAAAGCTTCCTGACAAAAAAAGTAAGAAGGAATGATCCACCCGGACACGTGCTTCTACCACTAACCCCATTGAATGACAGTCGCTCATTGATCCAGAATGGTACGGGGCCTTCATTGGAAATTGCGAAAGTTCTCTTTCCTTCTTCGATAAAGTCACCCACTCTGCAATTCACAGAGATGTGAAGACAAGAGACTTCTTCGTCCTCACATCTGTGTGAAGACGGTTGTCTTCGCAGAGATGCGATTTTCTTGTTTTCACAGAGGTGTGAACACAAGAGAACTCTTCGCCTTTCTTCTTTGTGAAGAAAAATGAAGATTTTTTTCATCTCTACTTTGTGCGCTAAATACCTCAATATGTTAGACTACCAAGCAGCCGAAATGTCAATCTTACTACATGAGAAAGTCAATCTATTGAAGGCATATGAAGACACAAGGAAATCATAATCATTACGTTATCTACATCTGCAATGTTATTGCATGCGGATATAATTTGGGCAGTATTAATTTTAAACGATGTTTGTACGACCGTAAAGCCTTTTTTAATATTTGAGACATACATATTTTTTAAGTATTTTTCCAATACTTGCTTAACTCATGAAGTTTTCCACGGCGCCTAACTAATGATACCACCCTCTAGCTAACGTACGCCGGCTACCCATTGCAGAATGGCTGGCGTATGATAGATTCAGTGTGTTCTATATTAAACACCGTACAAGTAATAAAAAAAACTTTTTTGTTGTTTTATATTTAGGGAAATATAATTGTAATGCGAACACAATATCTTTCGTCTAATCTCGCCTTTTTCGGTCATTTTCTGACCAGAATCAAGAATGGACGCAGCAAGTTTTTTTTCAATGGCTGTTTTCTTTTTCTTTTTCAGTTGCGTACTGACATCACGAAACCCTTATATCTACTACATCGCCTTCTTAGGCATCTCATGTCTTATCCTTTTCATCAACCTCCTGGTCTTCATCATGGTCACTCGAGTTCTGTTCACCCCACGCATGGCTACCAAGGCTGCAGCCAATAACAGTAGTTCCTCGAGCACCAACTCGGGCCACCCTGCGCCTCCCATCACAGCAGCACAAGTGAGAGGAGCCTTTACAGTTATGACGCTGCTCGGAGTCACGTGGATCTTCGGGGTATTTGCGGTCGGCGAAGCCAGGACCGTCTTTCAGTACATCTTTTGCGTCTGCAACTCGATGCAAGGCTTCCTCATCTTCGTGGTTCGGGTACTACAGTACCCTGAAGCCCGGAGCGCTTGGTTCCAGCTTCTGACTAGAGGAACCCTGAAAAAGCACCGAGGAAGCGGACCGCCGGGAGGGTCCTGGTGCGCCAACTCATCCAACCCGAAGCAAAACAGTCATTCCTCTATGGTACGGATGACATCCTCGAGTACCGACAGCACGAGCACAGTCGTGTTCAACAGCAACATTTGGAACCGCAACTCTGGCAAAGAGAGTGGCCCCACCAAACTGTCTCGGATCTCTGGAGTTGGAAGCCTGCTGAAGAACTGTCATCTTCAAAAGGAGGAAAACAAACACAGCAGCCTCTCCCGCAAGAAAAAGACGGTCATCGTGGAGGAAGAAGTTGATTCCAAAGAGAACCACAAAGAGTTCTATTCGTCGGAAGACCAGGTCACCGCGCTGGTCAAGGTTCCGGAGCTTTACAGCAAGGAGGAGCGGGAAATCGTCAAGTCCAACAGCATCAACTCGAACGAACCGCTGAAGTTTATGGACGAAGAATCGCGAGCTGCGGCAGGGTTCGCGACCCAGAAAGCGCACATCTTGTTCGCCTACGCCGACGGCGAGACGACGCCGATCAGGATTAACGGCATTGTGCATTCGCCGGCCGATAAACCCAAGGTGGAATGTTTCAGCACGTTCCAAAGACCTTCCCCGGTGCCGGGAGCGCCAAAAATTCCTGAACTTCCGCAGTCATGGAAAAGTCGGGAGACAGATCCGTTGACCACGCCAAGTGATTACGAGCACCGCGATCCCGGGATGACAACGCTAAAGATTACAGAAGAGACGTCATTTCTTACAGCTAACGGATCCGGTACGACGGTCATCTCTTGAAGCTGAGTGTTATTTTCGGTGGAACACATTGCGATCTCAGCTGACTGATGAATTCTGTCGGTTTTCCTTCCCCCAAAGACCACGATGGCAAGATAATTATCTGTGTTTGTGTGTGTGTGGTGACAATGAGCAGAAGTGACCAGAACTTCGGTGCCGCTGCAGATTATGTATTCAATTGCCTTACGTACGACAAATCATTCGGCTCCGAAGAAGGAGCGTCACTCGTTCTAACCGCTACGAGTAATAGTGACAAGACAACGTCAATTTCTGATGTACATAGAACGTGAACTGCATCCTATTTATGAACCCATTGAATCATCGCTATCTTAACATTCCCTTCTGCTTCGCCCATTTAAGTAATGTAACCCAGAAAAAACATTCTTCAGGATGAAGCGCATTTACTATTCTCGATATTTCAGATGCTAATATATTGAACAGATGAACCCGTAGTTAATGTCTCCAGGAAATTGAAGGACCCGCCAGTCAATATTACAATTATTTTACAGATGCGAGTTAGACTGTAAAGTATGAGATGCCGAAATGCTTACTAAGTTTATTTAGTTGTCACATTGCGATCAATACCCAGTGAAACTTTGAGTTGCTCTTCCTGTGTGCCTCCTTTTCGATATACTGGAATGGCATTTTAGAAACAAGAAACAAACGTGGTTGTTGTTCATATGTAGCGCGTTTCACTTCATATATATGAAAAAGTGTGTTTTTATTACGCTCGACGTGAAATCATCTAAGAAAGCTGGGACGTCGAATGAAGAATTTTGTTTTCTTTTTAATCCGTCCCCATTTGCCTGCCCTGGTGGTAAGACAGTGTACGCCTAATATACTCCCTTGCCTATTGTGTAGGCTGCGCCACACCATAGAAACCAAGAGGTTAACCCATTATGACTGAATTGCTTGTCCCATGGCACCTCAGATAGCAGGCCAGAGAAACGATTAACTTGGCACACAATTGGCTATCCTAGGTGCCTAACTTGAACCTAACATGCGTGTGCTCCAAGAAGTTAGTAAGTTCCAGAGTCTTTGGCGTTTACATGGCGTTTCTTTCGCTCAGAATATAGTTGCTGAATTGCCAAACTTCGGGCAAAGATACGACGTGTGAACCGAATGATCAGAACTTAAACTAAATCTGCCACATTTTCTGGTAAGTTAGGCCCAGAATCCCCATGTAAAAACTGACCAGAAGGGAAGCCTAAATCTTACATTTGTTTCATGACTTGGGCCCAAAGATGTCAGATCACACCCAAACTACCAGCAGTAAAGCCTAATTTTGGCACTTGCTTGGAAAAGTATAGCCAACACATCCAGACTAGCCGAAGAAGGTCAAGTTTGGCTGTTTCCTGTCTTCTTTGGGGATTTCGAAGGCCTAAAATTTTTCAAAAACTACATTTTCTCCCAAGAAACTGTGCTGCCTGGGTACAGTGCAATATCTAATTTGTTGGCCCGGTCTGTGCAGACAATTGAACGTTTCAGGGAGAAGCATATGTGTACAATACCCTCTAGAGACATGAATGCGTTATCTTACATCGAAAAAAATGTACGTTAACCTTGAGACAAACAGCTGACACCCTTTATTGCAAGGCACGCTTTTTTTCTTCTTCTTTTAGGATGTACAAACAATATTTTACGGACTTGTGATTCCCGACAGCACTATTAGAATCCTGCAATAAGGTGCATGTTTTCATGGAAAACCTCCCATTGGGGTGATTCCGTCCTTTAGGCTGTGGTATTGAATCGATGACTTTTGACTATTCATTAAAGAAGCTTTCTTTACCAGTTTAAATTGCTGGCACCTCCTTTACCTTCCGCGTTTATTGTACGTTGCAATATTGTATCCCCACTAGAACGTCACCTTTGAGCACAAGCTTTCTGCATTCAATACTACTTCGCGGCATGCGCAGCGAAAACACGACGGAATGCAAGGAGTGCGTACTTGTGGTGTAACTACCACTTCCGACCATACATTTTAGATATTATACAATTATATAATTGTCCCTATTGCCTCTGGCGACACAGTATTTGCAGAGAAGACTCAGCCCAAAGAATACAAAGCTGCGTCCCCCCCCCCCCCAAAAAAAAAATTACTCTTGTGCCAGTGTTCCTCTTTTGGTAAACTTCTTCTTAGACGTAGGTTCTCACCTCCAACACTCTGACAATCCATTTAAATATATTTCTAATTTTCGATGCAGGGTTTTTTTGGTTAAAAAAGAGGTGCATTTTTATGTTTTCCAATTTTGTAACACCAGACAAATTGTACGTTTTCAGTGAGTCAGACACGTTTCTCTTTGAATTCGCAGGCGGAGGTTCTCCTGCAGTCCATATGTTCGAACAAAACTATAAGTAACAACAAATACCAGGCAACCTGAAGCCACTGAGCCGTATAGAACCCCTGGACGTGGAGTAATCTGAGCGTAAGCTTGCACAACAAGGTTCAGGGATTATGGTTTCGAACCCTGTCTTCACCTGTCTCAAATCGAATGAGCATCTTACCTGCGTGCGTTCATTCATTCAATACTGTGTGATGCAAGTTAATGGACCTAGACTTGTGGACGGACTGCTCTGGCTAAATTACGATTTTTCTAGGAGAAGAATAGTTTCATTAGTCTTTTTCTTATATATTATATCGAGCCCATCGAAGCCACAGGGATTTATGAAGCGGAGCCCGGCGGCGTTCTTTTTCTTTCTGTTATTTTCTTCTCCCATCTTCGTATATTATAGATACTACATCTTGCGGCAGAACATAAACAATATTACTATCCACAAGAAATAAGCAAAAAAAAATTTATATTTTTGAGTCACTTAGAAATATTTGTTAACTACGTGATCACATTTCATGATGTAGAAAAATGTATTCGAATATACACACTGCATAACGATCTGGTATATGTTTTATTTTTGAAATATAACAATATCATTAGCAAAAGAGTATGACTCACTTCGTCAGGACACTATACATTACAAATCTAAGAAGAAAAATCATATCATAATGCACACATTACGGATATGTATACGTTGCAGACATATTTGGTTGTGGCCACGCAATTTGGATGTCTGATTTTGATACGGTGTAGGTGTAACAACGCGTAGCAACGAAAACTAAGAGAAGGCACAGACAACACGGACGAAGGCTGACTCGCAGCTAAGTGTTTAACAGGGAAAACAGAAACCAGGAAAACATAAAGAGGCACACTCAACTAGCCAATGTGAAATCGCCACAAGGCCTTCTGGGACCATTTGAACCGACTGTCGTGTGTACTGCTTACAAACAAGGCGTACAGAATGAAGCGAATACAGCGCTCAGATGCTATCAGACCAAAACTAATAGAAAATGATCGAAGATAGGTGCACACTTCTCGCGGACGGGGGGCTTCCATAGGCCCATTCTACTATGCAAGTGCATAAATAAATAAAATACTGAATATATTTTGTTTTAAATGCCTAATTAATATTTATAAACGAACCCTAGATACCCTTGTCTCTTTGACTCCGTTTGCAACAAACAGCAGGGGGCACACTTGTGTTACATGTATACTTCAAGTATGGAAATGGGAAATGGGCCCAACGAATAGGATATGATATATTCACTTCTGACCGGCAAAACATTTTCCAAGGGTCAATATTTGTATCTACATAACATTCTCATGCTAAATCCAGTAAGAGAAAAACACTTCAATAGCAGCATTGCTAAAACAAAAGTCGAAGGCTTGATCGCGGAAGGCCCGTACGTGGAAAGTAAATCCTTAGATAAAGCAAAAAATATGAAGAGGTTTTACCTGTGAGGGAAGTCTTCGTGCACTTTGATTGAAAAGTATTCCTGTAATTTCCTCTTGCAGTTCTCAAGAAGTTTCACAAAAAGACGGTTTAAGCGGTAGAAGACAGTGTAAAATGCTGCCGCATTTCTACGACAACCTGCGCGGCGATTTCTGCAACAGTTCTTAACATAGCTCTCTATTTTATTTTATGTTATGAAGTACACGTGTCTGTATTGTTCTGAGCGAGCTTCTAGCTTTGAGGCACCTTATTTATAGTAAAGGTCGCAGTCGATGTAGCTACTCTTCACCCGGACGGCGGAGCAAAGGGTGAGTGATGAAGCGCCACCATCTACAAGGAAAAAGAATGAAAAGACAGTCCACAGCGACGGATGGAGGTTGGTAAACACCTTGGGTGTAGCGAAAGATAAAACAGGTGGCATGGACCTGGGTCTATCCGTCACTTTAGATACGGAAAAACCAGGGAGCGCTGAAAATGTCTATATTTTCGCCAGTAAACGATGGCGCAAGTACGTTCATAGTATTGTGTTCTGTTACAGTCTCTTGCTAGAAATACCCAGTCAGCAAAAGATTTAAAAGATTTAATTAAAATATATTCTCAATGCGAAAAACAACATATAGATATAAAATTTTAAATAGATGAATGCTCAGCATTATGAAGGCAGAGACATATAGAAACCTGCGATCCAGTTTAATTAGCGGCCAATTCCTTGCTTAATTTGGGCGGTAACACGATCACCAAACCATTAGATCACCACTATCGTAAAACGCTATTGCTGAAAGTGCATATGGTTACCCTTCTAAATGCAAGGACTAGGTGCTATCATATCAACAAAATTAGGAGAGAATGTTACATTGATGCCAAAATATTTTAAAAACATGTAACATTTCTTTTATCTTGAAAAATTGTTTCTTTGGAGGATACGTTCCTTCATTATGATAATTCATTTGTATGCAATCAAGTCAAGCATGAGCTTAAAGCAAATTTTCACTCTAAAGGATGCTTCACAACGCACTGTTTTCTTAAGATGCGGAGCTTACGCACGCTTATCTGGAGATACGACCGCAAGTAACCGGCACATCCAAGCTTGGTATTCCCACGGGTATGCGGTCGTATCCTGATGTAAGAATAAGTAAGCTTCGTAGCGTAAAAAAAAGCGGTGCTGTTTAAAGCAGCCTGAAGCCGAAATACTTAGAAGTCCTATTGCGCCACGTTACTTATAACACCCTGAAAGGAAGAAGAAATATGATCTCTAAAAACAAAACTTAACAAAAACCCTCAAAATTATTTCGGAAGAAAGAAAAAAAAACAACTGCATTGTCACTCTCCATGCCTGAGATGAAATCCGGTGCATCCCCTATATAGCGCGGGCCTAGTACCGAACAAAATTTTGAGGCCGACGCGCGTTTCGGTGGGCAGTTCCCAACGGGGTTGGAGAAGCAGAAAAGTTATCCGTTCGATTGCTGAGCGGGTCAACAAGCGACAAGAACAGTGAAATTGGCAAAAAAAGACGGGATGGGAGTCCTGATCTCTTTTATTTTTTTTCTTCCTTTTTTTATGTTTGTCCCGTTTCGGACGTCAACACCGAAATTGTCAAGAGCAAAGTGTCGACATACGAGATGGAACTTTGGACTTTCGAGAGGAACTGGATTCCACTCAGGTTTGTTTTTGTTTTGCTTTATGCACGTCTGAGCTACTTTCAACTCGGTGTTAAGAGGAAACTGCGACAGGGTTGTTTTGAAGCCAACGGACCGTTTTCGTGAAATATTTTTTATCTATATTTTTCAAATAAACACGTGGGCTGCAGTGAGTTTATGGTGCTATGTTTTGTTTGGACATATGTCCGAGCGCAGTCGAAAGCCCGAACGCGTACAACCATAGGGACAACCATGCACGCGCAAATTGAAAGGAGAACTCACTGGGCTTTCCGTGTGCCTGATTGGTTTAGCGTTGATCGAACGCGTATAAAAAATGATGAGCAGCATGGCGTTGCGCGTTTTATGCTGTTTGATTGGTTGA